TCTATAATATATAATATAATAATATAATCTAATATCCTAATATAATATATGATATCTCCTCTCCTCCTCTAATCTCTCCTCTAATAATCTCCTCCTCCTCCTATAATCCTCTTCTCCCCCTTTTCCTAATCTTTACTTTATTTAGATAATTATATCTAAATATTTATTCAGATAATAAAACACATTAATCCTTCCTAGAAAAAAATGACGTGCAAATAAAAGAAGAAGATATATTGCATTCACGTTTCGAGATCATTTTTAGTCGCTGTTGCAATTTTAATAATTTTTTCTGCTCTATTCTGTAAAAATGTTGAAAGCTTAAAGCCTTTATAGAATTTTATTAGAATTTAAAATTAGGTATATAAAATTGAATAAAATTATTTCTAAGTAAGACACAACAGACAGGAAATAAGCATTCTTCCTCAGATATATTTTTACAAATTTCTATATAAATGTCATATTTATACAAAATTTTAAATTCTCTAGTATATCTATGACACATTAAAAAAATTATTTTCCGAAAATAAAAAATTATAAGAATATTAATACGCATACTCATATCTTTTTTTTCTAATTTTTGATAAAAACATGTTTTTATATATTCTAAATTTTTCTTCTGAGAAAAATATTAATAAATACGTGAGAAAAACTGTAGATACACATGTATACATATCCGTATACGTTTGACAAAATAATTTATCACACCCCCTTTGTTTTTCTTCGTTAATTGGCGTTTATCTTCGCTCGAGCTATATTGAATTTAGTCAAATTCTCGGCTTATGCGACGGCACGTCTCTCCGAGGCATCAATAAGACCGTTTTAAGCTGGACGAGGAACGGCAGGAGGAGGAGGAGGCTGGCGGTGTGTATAAGGGATGAGAGAGGATGAAATAAAAAAGAGAGGAAGAGAGAGAGAGAGAGAGAGAGAGAGAAACGGAAAGTGCGAGCAGGGAGGAGATGGTGAAATAACAGATTGCAGTTGTGGCACGAGCGAGAGAGCGCAGCCTGCTGGCTCGCGAGCAGAAGGCAGGTGCTACATTTTTTTTTCTCCTCTTTTCTTTTCCCGAATCGCTCGCGCCGTCTCGCAACGTCTCGGGAAAGAGGCTGCTGCAGAGGCTCCCAAATTTCGTTACGCAAAAACGTGTCGCGCCTCCCGAGTATTTGGGTTAATAATCCTTCCGATGCACGCATATCGAAAAAGGAGATTCCTAAGTGACCTGTCTTTAGGATTATTTTGCTCTTTCCTCGAGTTTAATAAATATAATTTGAAAATTTATTTTGGTCATTTAAAGTTATGATCATTTAATGGAAATTAATTATATATACGCGGTAATTAATTACCAGAAATGAAAAAAACTAGGATTATTTTGCAAATTTTTCCTCGAAAAAGAGGTGTAAGCAAGCAGAGAAATTATTTATTTATAGATGATTTAATAATTAAATTAAAAGTTATACGATTTAATACATGTAATAATTTCAAAATTAATTTTGGTAATTTAAAGTTTTGATAATTTAATGGGAATAAATTATATATACGGTAATTAAAAAAAATTACCAGAAATGGAAAAAAATAATGTCATATAGATTTTTGTGTTAGGTAAATAATTTAAAACAATGCTATATACCTCGGTTTTCTAAATTCTAAAATCTAAACACAGTATTTTTTAATATATTATAGATATTTTTCACAGTATATTTTAATAATTTCAACATATATAAATATATATATATATTTATATAAAAAATATATATATAAAATTATATTAGAAATTATAAATTAAATATTTTATAAATATATATTACATATATAACTTAAACTTATGTCATATATGTACGATGACGAAACACAGATTATGTTATATATATAAGATTTTTAATTAAATTATTAAATGTAAATCGGAAGAACTGGTATATCTACATAATTATTGGCTCTTGTTAAACAAGCTATTTATCTCACAAATATGAAAACTCATCATTCTGCACACGATAATAACGACTATTTTATGATAATGGACTGATGATGATATCACGGTTTCATTATCGGCGCGATGCATAAATGAACTTTACTGATATTTACAATGAAGATACGTACCATCGATCCGTGTATACGTGAGCATGTGAAGAGAAAACAAGTGAAATTTTTGATAAGTATTAACTTCAAATATTTTCTTTTTCATGCATAATAAATAAAAAAATGAATACACATACATATGTCCACACTCACTCACACAAATGACTACTTATCAAAATCATCCCATTTACGTCGAGTAAAACGTATTTTTCTCCTTTTTCTTCGGCCAATGTAAGATACATAAATCTCATAAATCTTGGTCGAAAATTCCACATAATAAGCATGCTAGCAATATCAAATTGCATTTGACGTCTCTATATTCGAAGAAGTATGCATTTCATACATTTATGTCTTTATTTATGACGCAGTGATAATATTATTCATTGATGTTATCTTGTACGTACATATAAATTGACAAAATTGCAATCATAAACTTTGATTACAAATATTGTCAAGTTTAAGGTTCATATTCTGAATTTATGACACTAGAGATGACAATAAATCTTTAAACTCTATTTTCATCAAAATAGAGAAATAGTGTGATTTTATAATTAAAATATACATTGCAAAAATTTCCAAATAATTTTCTAAGTAACATTTCTTCAGAGAAAGTCTCTATCTTTCTCAAAAAACTTGTTTCCTTTCTTTCAATCATTTACCGATCTATAATGATTTACACAGATATTAAAGGATTCAGATATAAAAAGAGTTAATCACTGAAAAAAAATTATTAAATGAATAAATATTGATTTCAATACTGCCCAATAAAGCATTTATTTGAAACAAATTAATATTTATTTTTATATCTTAATCAATCAGAGCCTCTTCATCATTTATTTGAAACAAATAAATATTTATATATCAAATAAATATTTTTCATATTAAATAAATATTATTAGTTTCAAATAAATAATTTATTTGACAGCATTAGAATAAATACTTATAAATTCTTTTCAGCGTTCGACTTATTATTAAAAAATTTGTTCTAAGGCGCAAACACCTCTCTCTCTCTCTCTATCTCTTCTCGCCGAATAGAGAAATTTCGAATATACGAGGAGACAGATCTGTATGCACAGACGAATCTCGGATGAGTTCCACTGCGGGCGATTTAATCCGCAGCGATTTTTGCCCGGGCACGTTCGCGCATCACGTTCGAGAGTTCGAGCTCTCCTCTTCTCTGCACGCGCGCACGCGCGCATTTACTCGCGTGCGGCCAATTATGCACCTTGTTACGCGCGCGGTATTACGCGCGCCTGCCCGAATCTCTCTCCTGCGATCGGGCCGCGACGAAAAAGGCCCGGGTTAACGAACCTTTTGAAGTTCCGTGTGCGGCTAAAGGAAGAACGAGAGAGAAAGAGAGGGAAATTAAATTAAGTGAAGTTCCAAGTGCGATCGACACGCGTATTTAGCGAGGCAGCGATCCCCTTGCTCCCCACTCTCCTTATTGGACATTAATGATCGAATATTATTCGCCACGATCGAAATTTACGACAATCAGTTAAGAGACCGATGGCCTTAGCGACTTTATTAATTAGAATAAGCACACAATGATGAGCAGCCCGAAATTGATATTGCGCGTGCGCACGCGATTGAAGTTTCTCTTCAGTGCAATTCCTGCCATCGGCAGATGTTCGAAGGAGAAAAAAAACAACGGGTATATATCGATTAAAAAACTAAAAATAGCAGTGATGTAATTATGTAAGACGATTATTTTAATTTGAGAATTTTGGAAGAATATTATAAGAGAGATTTCCACTAGGGCTCGTGATTCTAACCGAATAATACAGCACACAAGTTTGCAGCAATATTGCAACAACATTGCAATATTATATATTGCATAGCATGCTATGCAATATTGCAATATTGCAGAGATTTTATATAGGCATGAATTTGCAATGTAGTTTAAACAACGTTGCAGCAACATTTCAGAAATATTATGAAAATAAAATTTACGCAAAAAATATTAGGTACAGACCATTTAATCCGATCATGTATTTGGCACATTCCTAATAATCCAATAGTAATATTACATATATATATTTTATTGCATTATTGCTGCAATGTTATAGAACAATATTTCTGAAAGCGGACATTTTACCGTTGCTGTAACCTTGTAGCAAGATTGCTGCAACATTTCACAATGTTTATGCAATGTTGTAATATTGTAATGAAATGTTGCCACAATGCTGCTACAATCTTGTGCTGTATATAGTAATCAATTTATTCAAAGTCGATTAATCGATTTTAATCAGTTCCCATACAGCACAACAAGATTGCAGCAGCATTGTGGCAACATGCAATATTACAATATTGCATAAACATTGTGAAATGTTGCAGCAATCTTGCTGCAAGGTTGCAGCAATGGTAAAATGTCCGCTTTCAGAAACATTGTTCTATAACATTGCAGCAATAATGCAATAAAATATATATATATATATATGTAATATTACTATTGGATTATTAGAAATGTGCCAATACATGATCGGACTAAATGGTCTGTACCTAATATTTTTTGCGTGAATTTTATTTTCATAATATTTCTGAAATGTTGCTGCAATGTTGTTTAAACTATATTGCAAATTCATGCCTATATAATATTTCTGCAATATTGCTACGCAATGTACAATATTGCAATGTTGTAGCAATATTGCTGCAAACTTGTGTGCTGTATGGGTTCATTCGAGTCTAATCGATTAATCAATTAATCGAATTAATCGATAATCACGAACCCTAATTTCCACTCTTCTTGACCATTAATTTGCGTAATCATCAGAATAATTAATGTGTATTTTTTTTGTACATAATATATATATTATGGAAATATTTGAAATTGAAAAATCGGCTTTTTTTGATTTGTTTGTAGATTTATTGTAACGCCGTTTAAGAGCCCCATGCTTCTGCATGCTTTTAAGGGAAGAAATTGTTGTGACTTACCGTTTCTTCGCTGAGCTGGCCACGGACGGTTCTACGACGAGGGAGGATCCGAGATAGGTATATCCTGCAACGAGAAAACGAAGGAGTAAATTTTTAGGTGAGTCTTTAATGTGAGGCGAGATTACGACATCTCGTGGATCATACTTTGTTACGTATTGTATAATACTATAAGAACCAAACTGAGGAAAGTTAACAGTTTTGTTCCATTGTCATGACATAAAAAGCACAAAATAATTTCTCATGCAAAAATACATATAAAATTTATATCTGTAATTTTATTAATTTTTTATTATTAGTCTGTGCAGTACAAAGATTGAACAATCTTATATTATTACAATTTTTCGAATGAATTTTCTTCGAATGAATAGTTATTATTATTTTTGTACACCAAATATAAAGTTCGGCGTGTCTAATAATTTTTTGAAATAATAATTAATTTGAATGTTGCTAAAATTTAGATTTTTTTGTTTGCTACAGACAATGTAAAATTTGCGAGTGCCGTTGAAAGTATCTTAACTTTGAGACCTGAGAGGAAAAAGAGGCCATAGAGGCCTAAGAGGGCATCAGGCAAGCAACCCTGAGGTGATTTTTACTTGTTTATTAATTATTATAACCCATACAGCACCGAAAGATTGCAAAAACATTACAACAATCTTTCACCGCAATATTGCAATATTGCAAATTCACTCAAAATGTTGCTACATCATTGCTGTTGAATTGCAGCAATGTTAAAATGTCCGCTTTTTGGAAGATTGCAACAAAATATTACAACAATATTGCAATATGTTATGAGTTTGCAATAATGTATTGTTATTGCAACCATAAACTAATGTTGCATATACAGGTATATAAATGTAAATAAATCATTAATGAAAATACGTTGTAGTTAATTCATATATATTACAATATATAAATTATAGAATTTGGATTACATGCAATATTTCCGAAATATTAATGTCATGTTGCTACAAGTGTGCTGGAATTTTGTGCACTTATATCTCTGCAATGTCTTTATAATGTTGCATTGCAACTTGCAACATTGCAACGTTGCTGCAATATATTTGCAATAATCTGTGCTGTATGGGAAATCACATTTAATTTAGTTCATTTATTTGAATAATTTAAATAAGAGAAACTTAGAGATATTATATATTATAAATATATTTATATAAATCCTGTAAAATTTCTACTTAAAAATTTTTTTTTAATTTATAACACTATTTTATAATTTATTATTGTTATGCTATAATTTAGATTTTATATTTGTATGTTATAGACAACGTATTTTGCCTTCATATAATTTTGCAACTATTGAATCGAATTAATTTCGTTTTTGCAAACATCTATTAATTTATTAATATATATTAAAATAATTTTTATTTACATATTGATAATTAAATTTATCAATCAATTTCACCTAAATATAATTTTAAAAATATCCAAATCACATGATCTATTTTACGAATCATGTTATATAAAAATCTCGTTGTATACGCTTCGAGTATAACTGGATTTTCCCGTCAATTTATTATACCGCAATAAAATGCGCCGCATATATATTTTAACTTTTCTAATTACACTCTCGTCGCAGATAAAGTTTAACGAGGTTGGGAGTAGTTAAATATATTTTCGCCGCGATTTTCTCATGCGTGTCTCAAGTCAAACGGCAGAAGTGGATCATTGGGTCAGCGTCCAACCTGTTTGGAGCTGCGACCTCTGACCCCCGAGGGACGTGGACGGGAGGCTTTTCCCATGGAAAAACACACTGGCCGGACGCGGCACCGGTTCCGCGCCCGGTCGCTTCCGGGTTCCGGTATCGCACGTGTGCGGTAACGGCGCAAAAATCGCGGCCGGGGCATCAAACCGACCGAAAAGCTATCACCGGCTACACCTCACTCATATTCTAATCAGGATCAAAAGGTTATGTGAACCATCGGACATTTCGGTGAGCCCCGCGCGACAAAGACGGAAGGAAAAAAGGGAAGATAGACGGGGAGGCGAGATAGGTGGATAGGTTAGGTACGAGCTGTGTATTTCCTTTCGTTTCTTACGCGCCAGGTGTCGTTTACCGATCAAGCCCATCTAATTTCTCATGATCCTTCGCCGCGCGAATCGGAATGTTAGGACTCGCGAGACATTCCTATATGCGATCCCGTTAAGTGGATCCTTCAAAGATACAAATGTCCGAGTATGTTGATCTCCTGCGACTCCAAAATCGCTAAACTAATTGCTTCAATCACCTATCTTCGTTTTATTATTGGGTTTGTTCTTTATTGCTGTACTGATGAACTAGTGCACACTAGTGCAATAAGTTAAAGTAAGATAAGTATATTTTGTTTTACTCTAACTTATTGCACTAGTATGCACTAGTTCATCAGTGCAGCAATAAAGAACAAACCTCTTGTCAACTAATTTATATAGAATGTAACAGAAAAAAAACATATATTGCACCCCATCAGATTCTCTGGCCAGTTTGGAGATGACTTTTCCTCAAACAATTTTCAAATTATAAAGCTTCTTGCAAATTATGTATGCATCCTATATAATACAGGTATGTTGGACCTCTTGTGATTTCAATTGTCAAAATCAAACTAATTTTATATTGTCAACTAATTATGCAGGAAATAACTGAAAAAACATACCTATGGTATATTGCACACCATCAGATTTTCTGGCCAATTTGGAGATGACTTTTCCTTCAATGAAAGTATCGAGGCACCAATAATTTTCAAGTTATAAATAAAAAAGGAAGCTTTTCCGGAGAAAAATTGTCTCCAAATTAGCCCGAAATTTTAATGAATCCATATATGTTTTTTTTTTCAATTACATATATATAATATACATAAACGCAAATTGAAAAATTCCGGTTTGTGCGAGTCCTCTCAATCCTAAACATTCTCTCATTCGAAATAAAGTTTCGCTAGTTATAAATAAAGATTAGATTTTTTTTCTCTGCGGTACAAGAGAGCGAGTGGCGGATCGAGTGGTGAACTAGAATTTATTAGAGGATGCTCCACGCTCTCTCCTCAATACACACATAATAACATATGTATATGTATAACGCGGCAGGACGAGGTCGGCTTGGGAATGCGAATGAATCAAAAGTACGAATATGAAATGGAACAAGGAGAATGAAGTAGCAGAGAAATGGCGCGTTCGCGTGTCCCCACTCCTCTTCCCTCGGCTCTCGGCTGTCTCTCGTGAGAGATATAGATAAAGAGAGATAGATGAACGACGCGAGGAGGAAAAGGAAGAGGAGTAGGCATCTAAATAGCTACTTAGTATGTTTCGCGTCAGGTCTTCTCCCCTCGCGATGAGGAGAGTTGACCAGCAGTAATAATATTCGTAAGTGTACCTATATAGAAACGAGTGTGCTCGAGAGATCGCGTAGCCAACAGGTTTCATGCGAAAGCTAATTCGGTGCCGGAGCGAGAGAAAGAGAGAGATGAAGAGAGGTTAGGAAGAGAGACGGATAGACCGGGATACGTCTTCTGACGAGACTTTAATTCGATTCTTATGCCGCGTTAAATACGCCGCGTATTTTACGCCCGATTTCACGTGCCGTAAAGATGGGATGAGATTGCACCGGCGGGGTTAACTTTGTCATCATACTTGCTAAAGTGGGGCTTGACAAGCGATCTAATAATGCCAGATGACACGAATAAACAGCAATATCAACAACAATTACGATAATATATGGTAATAAATAAATAATAGAACGGTGAAATCTAAATTTTCATCCCTATTTAATGTCAAAGTCACGTAAAATACTGATTGGCAGACCACGACTGCATAATCTGTACAAAACCTGTTGTTTTATACAATGAAAAAAAAATGACTAAATTAATAAATATTTATTTCCATACTGCTTAATAAATCATTTATATTGAAAAAGATTTTCTTGTGTCACAAATAAATATTTTTCACATCAAATCAATATTATTAGGGTAGTAGATATTAAACTGACTACACTGGCTGTCTATTAGATTTGTTAAACTATATTTATTGACGTTTCGACCATACGGGCTGTGGTCCTTTTCAAAATTACAATAGAATCATTCTAGAAATTAATGTACATGCAATCAGAATCAACATTTAAATTGAAAACGTGAAATGTAACAAATGAGACTTATTGTACAATGAGTTACTGCATATCGTTATTGACATTTAAAAGTACGCTCCGGTGAGACTTAACTTAAATCGGATGGTAAATTAACTGCGTTTCACTTGTGTCATCTTGCCACGACTGAGCACACTGTACTAACGAATAAACACGCCGAAAATTATGTCAAAGTTAAAAGTTAACAATATTTACATTCTCGCTAAATTGTGATGTACCATATGGCAAATTACTAAAATAAAATATAAAAATAAAAAATAAAATATAAAAAGTATAAGATAATAAAAAGATAAATAAATAAATAAATAGATATATTCGGTTCGCTTATGTCATCCTGCCTTAACATACCAATAATAAACTACTAATAATAGCTCCCAACAACGTATGTTAAAAATTTTTTACTTCAATTTCTAAACAAACTGTCATATATCGTACTAAAGCTTTCAGTGTCTTTCTGTAAATTGATAGTGGAATTCAATTTCTTGATAAAGTACATTTCGGCTATTTCTCTTTTTCTTCTATTGTTTTCTTTATGCAGAATTAAATGATTCGACCAATCAAATTCATGTCCTTGATTAATTCTGTGCTCACTAACGACAGAAAAATTGCTCGCTGAATTTTTAATATTACGTCGGTGTTCGTTAATCCTAGTACTAAGATGTCTTTTTGTCTGCCCTACATAATAACAGCCAGTGTAGTCAGTTTAATATCTACTACCTTAGTATTTCATTCCTGGCGAACGAAATTTAATATTTTATTGTCAATATTATTAGTTTCAAATAATGAGACAGTATTGAAATAAATATTTATTCGAATTTTCGACACATTTTTTAAAAATTCTATATTTATTTTGAATTAATTAACTTATTTAAAAATAAGTAAAAATTTTACTGTAGCATTTCTATATATCTTTTACAAAACATAAAAAAATATGTGCGATTAGA